ATTATATAATCTATCGCTATAATTGTTTGTACATGTATGTAAGAATGAAAGCTAAACATCAACAACAACAACAACAACAACAACAATAATAATAATAATAATAATTAGTACTAGCTATATTTATTTTTAAATCTAAAACACCTAGAATAATAATTAATTAATAATAATAATAATAATAATAATCAAAAACTGGCAGCAAAAATGTAATTAATACAATTCAACAACTGATTCACGACTAGCACAGCGTCTAATATCAGTAGAGCTTGGTACAATTTCTCTCTTTTGTTGATCAACAGTTTTAATTGGTTCAATGAACTCTGTTATGTCCAAAAGAAGTTCGTCATCATCATCTTGTTTCCTAAATAGCTTCTTAATGCATTTCATATGAGGCAACTGCAGGTAAAGATGATAAAAAACAATCAAAATAAAACTAAAAATAAAAACAGATAAACAAATATTGTACCAGATCAATACTTTACTGTCTTCATTGAGAGCTACAGATAGGCCAACCATGATGCATAAGTTAAGCAAGAACCAAACTTCAAGTACATTGTTCATTCTCTTCTTGTAAACTCCACCAAAGCAATGACTCAATGACAGCACAATAACTAACACTGTCAATAGCATTGACAATAAGAAGTGCTGTGACTGAATGAAACTGTCAGCTAAAGTAACCGATAATAGTACTGGTATCCTAGCCACTAGGAGTAGACCAGGCCAGAACCGATACTCATCTTTCATTGGACCACTATAAGCATCAATAATATGCTTGAAATGATTCCAAAATTTTTTGAAAACTTTGAAATTTGAAAGATACTTCTCGTAAAAGCGATTAAGTAGAAGGAACAGTGTGTATGGTATGACAAAGAAAACAGTCACCAATAGGGCAAATCCAAATAGTCCAGCATGCTTCCCTTTAGCATATTCAACATTAGGATCCTCATACCATAAACTAACTGATCTTACTGACTCATTTGTACAGTGAAGAGTTACCTCACGCTTGTGTAGTACAATAACAATAGTACGTACTAGTTTAGTATACGAAAGAAGGAAGAGTGTAGATAGAACAGGAACAGCATGAGACCCCATCAGTCGTGATAACTTACCATATCTCCTACACAATTGTATAATGATAATGATGATGATCCACAGGTAGAGAGGGAAAGCAAACTGGAGCCATTGTTTAGCATAACTGTCCATACCATTGTAAAAACATATCTCGAACCCAAAGTCTAAGTTAATCCATGATATGACTT